TCTCAAAACTTCATCAAAACCTCGCATGATTTTAACATTTCCATGAAATCTCTTCTCAATCTTCTCTTCTCCAAATAGAAAAACCCCAGTTACTTCAATATGTCTGCTTAGCTGAAGTTCCTCATCTCTGGAACCATTCTTGTGCATTGACTTTAATTTCTTGACCTCTTTCCTAAAGTGGCATGCCCAGAACAAGATACAATACTCCAGTGAAGCCAAACCAGCTTGTATTTGTATTGGTATATCACTTGTGATATTGCTTGTTGCTTGCTTGTTTTTGCAGTTTATTCCCTTTCTGCCTTGACACTATCAATGATTTGTCGACATATGCCTCCAGGTCCTTCTATCACTGTACTCACCTTTAGAATGATTAATTAATAATCAGTTCCATGGCTTTACTTAAATCTAAATTCTTTGAGTGTCCTAGCTACCATTTATTCCTCATCAAGAACAAATTATTGAATCAATTTATCAGGTCAATACTCTCAATGCTTTTTATGGAAATATACATTGCGTAAATTAGCTGCCTACGTTAGAACATTCACTGTCCTTCTATAATACCTAATTATGTGTGAAGAACTTCAGCATATCTTCAGGACATGATATTTGTTAAAGAATATATAAACCTTTTTTTATATTCAATAGGAACTAAAAAGAAGCACTCAGATCTAGCTAAACTGAATTTTGAAAACTTCTTAAAACTGAAGTGAAAGATGCACATCCTCTCTCTTTATATTTATTGTGTCAATTGCCTTCTCTGTTAAACATCTAATTGAAAAAGATTTCTGGATGATTTAGAAATATGTTGAAGTTATATTTCTGAGTAGTACTGTAAGCAAACAAATCAAATAAATCATGATTGCTGTGTCAGACCACTCAGTGCTCAGGCTGCTATCAGACTAGATTCGATGACAACATCTAAGGAAATCAGTGAGGCAAATGATGAAGCGTCAGGCAGTCATGAAAAAAATATTGACTTTTGCCTATCACCATCTACTAAATTTCCACTGAAACGTGATAAAAATGTGTACACTATGTTTCTGAGGCTCATATTACATGGGCCAAACAGCTTGACTGCTAATTATTTCACCCCATTAGTTATGTTACTTGGTCACTATTGAACATAGTCTATATTTTACCGAAATGTTAGACAAACTAAGCATACTTTGGATCATCAGAATATTAAATTCTGGAGAGCCACATGGTTAGTAAATTGACCAGTTCCAGAAAATTAAGTGTAATCATTCATGTATTTCCCAATGAAGGATCTCATCCCACCAGGATTTATTCTGCATTTGGAGAGGACCACAACTAGAGCAGACTCTGGCAAGTTCACTTACCTGAGTTGGTAATGTATATTGTGTGCCCTTCTTACTGAATTCCTATGTCCGACGAAAAGGTATCTCCTTCAAGATATAACCACCCCAAACCCCTGTAAAAAATCCCCTCCCATTCTGGTCTAAAACTCCACTTCGCTCAAAGGAACCTGTCACCCATGGAGACCCATCTCATCTTCTGGGCTAGATCCCGTTCAGTTCGACTTCTCAAACTCCGAGTGCAATACTGGCAGTGGTCACCACACCCAGTGGCACTGCCGCTACTGGAAAGCTGATGATCTTGGATTGCCTGACAGCTCTTTGAGACCAAAATTCCAGTTCCTGAGGGTGGAAGTCCCACTATCCTTCTCTTATTTGGTACTTGGGTGAATAATGGCAGCGGAGCAGTCATGTTGTACTGAGTGGGCACCCCTTGACTTTTTAACAAAAGTCTGGGGACCGAATGCTCCCTAAAATCGAGCTCAGCAATGTAACAAACGCGCTTCAAGAATTTTTCAATTGGATAGCAGCATGATATCTGAATAAAACCTAAAGTGAATGAGAAGGTAACAATGCATTGATTCTTAAAGTACTGGTTCAAACTTTGAAAATGCTGACTGAATGGAGCTATTTTGTTCAGTTCAGTTGAATTAAATGGCAAATTTGGATCAAATCAAGACATTTTCAAAATTTTCACCAGATTATAGAGCAGATAATTAGCTGGCTTACTGATCCACTTTTTCAATTACTTGCAAATTCTCTTTGCTTCATACAGTTCAAGACATTTTTAAAAAATGTGACATATTGCTCCTGAGATATATTTCTATCGTGTCTTAAACATCTTAAATAGTTTTCTTCATAATGTTGTTGTGATCCATCGCAATAATATATTGCTGAAAAACTTACTTGCCCAATCCAAATGATTGATTGTTGTTATCACATTGTGTGAATAATCCCAAAACAGTTTAATATGCTTGCATGAAATTTGTTCAACTGCCTTTTAAATGAAGATGGTGACTCATTTATTTTGGACAGGTTAGCACAGCTCTGAAGAAGGGTTACTGGATTAGAAATGTTAACTGCGCTTTCTCTCCATAGAGGCTGCCAGGCCTGCTGAGTTTCTCTAGTAATTAATGTTTCTGTTTCAGATTTTTCTACATAGGCAGATATGTATTTTGTTTAATTTCTAGGATTTAATTTTAATGAAGAACATTTATTCAATACTGCATTTCACATGTGTGGTTTGATCAACATGCTGTGTTGCTTATACGAGAACTTGGTTGTGTGTTAAAATAATTACAAATCAGTAAGAATAAAGTATATTAAAATATTTTTGCACTAAGCATAAATGACCATAATTTTCATCAGCAAAGTTATTATAAACTTCAAATTTCTTTTTTAGGCAAGCGAGTTTCGTTTTCACTTTATCTTTCTGCTTAAAAATAAAATGAAACCAGGCTACCATTTTATAACAGTACTGCATGTAACCAGTTATCTTTTCTATCGATGAGACTGACACTGAAATTGCTTTTAATCACGCTTTGTTTTCTAAACTTGCTTTATTTTCTCCTGAAACATAAAAACATAGAAAACATTTGTCCCATCGAACCCGCTCCACTATTTGTATCATATTGGATGATTCTCTATCTCAGTATCATGCTCCCAACTCTCTCCCAATACACCTCGACATCTTTAGCCTCTAGAAATCTAGTTATTTCTTAAATACGTTCAGTGATTTAGCCTCCGCAGTCTTCTGTAGCAGGGTATTACAGGCATTGCCACCCTCTATGTGAAGAAACTTCTCATCTCAGTCTGAAACGGCTGACCACATACCCCAAGCCTGTGACTCCTTGATCTGGAGCCTATCCCCTGTCCCCACCAGGGGAAGCATCGCCCATTCATCTAATCTGTCCAGCCCTGACAGGCATTTACACATTACAACACGATCATCTCTTATTCCTCTAAACTCTACTGGATAGATGCCCACTGATCCGATCTTGCCTTATATGACAACCCTGCATCCCAGGAATCATTGGTTGAACCCTTGCTGCACTCCATCGACGGAAGACACATCTTTTCTCAGATATTGAGATCCAAACTGCACACAATACTCGATGTGTAGTCTCACCAAGGCCCCTTACAATGACAGTAAGACTTCCTTGATCCTGCACTCTAACCTACTTACAATGAAGGTCTACATATCTTTTGTCTTCTTAATGGCTTGAATGTTTGTTTTCATTTATCAGTGTAAAAGATCACCAAGTCCCTGCTTACAAGAACATTTTACAATCTATCATCATTTAAATAATACTTTGCCATTTGTTTCTCCTCTGAAGTGAATAACTTTACATAAATAAAGAAAAAAATGGAATTATTGGGCTTAATGCCATGATTTTAGCCTGTAGACCAACTTTTCTTCATTAATTTGTGAAATAAGTGACAGAGACACCACTGAGGCCAAGAAGGCGTGCATCTTAATTCTTTAATGCCCAGTAAAAGGTTAGCATGGCAATAACGCTGACGCTTGAAAGATTAATTTGAAGCTTTGAATTTCCATTTATCCAACCATTGATGTGTTTCTTAATAATGTCAGATCAACCTGCTGTTATCAGGGGAGTTCAGATCTTAAGTTCAGAATGAGTTTTTATGCAAGGACAAGTGGCAAATCTACTGTCCTGTTAAAATATTATGAGATCATTTTCTTCTGGCTGTTTGATCAAAAAGAAGACAGCAGGTAACCTTTAAGCTTCAGTCAATTTTAGTTTGGCTCGACTCCCATTTGATTTACATATCACAGTGACCCCATTCACTCAGCACCTAATAATGTGACCCTTTGAACATTAATAACAGGCCTTATATTACACAGTCGTAAACCACCAACAGAAAAGGTTGATATTCAGTTTTATTTATGTGTCACACGTACGAAGTATGGGAATACATAAGTACAGCAAAAAGTGCATAAAGTTGCCATTCACTGGTGGCCACTTGGTTACAAAATCCAGAATTAAAAGATCTTAACAGAGCCAAAAGGTAAGCAAGAAAAAAAGAAAAGTCCAGTTCTCAGAGTCTCAAGTCCCATCTCCACGATGATACAGGCACTGCTCCAATCGCCAGAACACCCAGGAGGCCACCGACTGCTGCCCCCTCACCAGCCCCACTCTCACCGCCCACCGCTACCCCTCTCCGGCCCCACACTCACCGCCCACTGCCCCCTCACTGGCCCCGCTCTCATCGCCCACTGCCCCCTCACCGGGCCCGCTCTCACCGCCCACTGCCCCCTCACTGGCCCCACTCTTACCGCCCACTGCCCCCTCACCGGCCCTGCTCTCATCGCTCACTGCCCCCTCACCAGCCCTGCTCTCACTGCCCACTGCTGCCCCCTCACCAGCCCCGGTTTATGGAGGGTTTCCCACTCTGTCTTCCCAACTTGCCTCATGACCTAAGTACCCATGCCTTTATGGTGCCCCACTCGTTGTACTCTCCCACTTACCATTGGTGCAAGGACTCACCACTGCCCAGATATTCTGGGAGTCTTGGTTCCAGCACCACGTTCAACAATCAACTGTGCACACTGTTCAGCACTGGAAGTTTGGAGTTGCCTTTCACATGCTGTAGCGACAGAGCAACCACATAACTTGCTGCTTTTCAAAGCGCATCGGTGACACAGCTGGCATTTCACGGCACGTAAAACTCCACAATCTCACATCTATTACCATTCAGGATCCAAGGCACACAGCTTACCCAACCTTAGCTTATACTTACTTATCCTATCTTACAACTCTGTCAAAGTCAGTGTCACACTTTCTCCAATGCTCAGTGTAGCAGAAATTCTCATCATTGCACAATGTGGGACCATCACATTACAGAAAACTCTCAAATGGTTCAAAGCATTCACTTTAATTGAGTAATAGCAGAAGTGAACAATAAACAAACAGAAGCTGCATTTGCCTGTCAAAAGAGAAATGGAATGGTTCCCTTTCAAGTAACAACAGATTTACAGTAAATGAATGAACACTGTGCACAGCTCACATCAACAGGAGCCGCAAGTCAATTAAATCCTGTTTGGATTGTTGCGCTTGATGCTGCTGTACTCTACCATGTAGGTGGTATTCTGCCTGCTCAATGTCCTCAGCTTCCTCTGAAGAAGACTGCTGCTGCCCTTCCAGCTCTTCAGAATCCATCATATCACCTCATCGCCTGCTCTAGTGGTGCAGAGTGAGGCATGTCAGGATTATGCAGCACAGTCTGTCTGGAGCATACTGCAAAGCCATCTGAGAACGATCCAAATGTCAGAACTTCATCTTTAGCAGGTCAATTTCCTAACTCTGGTCAAAGAATGAACTGCATTATATCTAGGTTCCGGCTCAGTTGGGGGTTGTGAAATGGAGTTATCAGCATGGTTGTGGAGGGTAGTCATTGACTCCCAATGAACCATCCTTGTAAGGTATCTGGCCCTTGAAGCAAACCAGGAACATGAAAGGTGTCAAGGGTGTGGATATTATGGCAGCTCCTAAGGTGCTGCGTACTAACATTGTACATAGTATGTGTGGTAACTCCTGCTGTGGCTGAATCCATCATTATGCTTGCAGGGAAGGAACGGTGCTGGTGTTTAGTAACATGGGCGGTTAGTACTCATATCCCTCACAAATAATGGAGGACATGAAGCAGTCAGCAAGAAGATTCAGGAACCTGAGTTCCCTCTGTGTCCCAGGTTGCTTCTTGCAATCCCTACTATTGAATATTACAACTTTCTGAAAAAAAAAAGTATCCCATGATAAACTATCATTGTCTTTCATTTAGATGACTATTTGAACTGACTATTTCCCACCTCTTAATCAACGTGGATGGTTATCTCTGACTGAACACTGCCTAGACCACTGAGTAATCTGTGTGCAGCTCCCCAGCTGAGTTCGCATGACTCCCTTGTCTGTTTGCTCTGAACCTGCAAGACTGGCAATGGATCACTCCCCAAACTGTAGTGATGCAGACCCCCAACCAAGCAACTAATTTACTGTGTCCAAGTCCTGGGACTGAGGTCCAATGATGTCTTATAATACTGGGACCCCTGAATGGGGAATGCCTGCTTGACTTGATTGAGGAATACACCCCATTGAGACATGGTCATTTGGTGGAGGCACATGCAGCGTGTTTGCCTAATACATTGCTTGCAGAAGCTTAAGTTTTGAGATTGACACAACATTTTGCCATATTGCAACACAACCACCCTTTGACCTATCACTGCTGACAGCCATGACAAACTGCCTGTCTTTGTTTTGCACTAAGTGGCAAGGTAAGAGAGGAGTACTCTGAGCCTTTAAGTTCTGGTTGAGGCTGAAAAGTATCAAAAGGCATGGCAACGCAGAGATGCTTTGGTATGTACAAAGTGAGTGAGCAGTAAAAGAACAAGCAAACAGCCCTAAAATGAACCTGGTCCATTCTATGAGCTTGTTGGCTGTCCTGTGCCCAAAGTGTTATGGCAGCGGTATTCCAATGACAGCTGCTGAGATATTCCAAACTGCAGCATTGAAGTCCAGAACCATTTAATAAGTAGATTGGAGATGAGGCATGACAATGTGTTGAGGCTGGCATGTGTTGGATGCCAATATCCATGGATACGGGTTGTGGACATTCACTGCCCATGTTGTTATCTAAAATGTGGTATCTGGTGTCCACAAGGGATGTCTGGAAGAAACAAGTGCCAAAGTAACCGCTCTGACTTTTATAAGAACATAAGAATGTAACATGTCGGAAATTGTTGTCCCCTACTTTCTATTCAGTGGGTATGATAGCAGGAATTTACATATAAATGAGGTGAGATTAACAAATAATGAGTTATCAATGCACGTTAATATATGCAAATAGGCCTCACACCAATTACTTACAAGGAATCTCATCTTACCGTTCAACAGCTGGTTGGAAAATGGGACTCATTGCTTTCCACACCGAGAAACTCCTTCGTGGGCATTAAGTAGCCAATTAAGGCCTTCAATTAGTGGCAAGGCAGTAAGTATGTCTGTGAGCCTTCTTGTCCTGGACTTTATTGGAATGAGGAGGCAAGAACGTGATAGAGTCACTAAGCCAATTACATGCCCCTGTGTCTCTAAACTTACTTCCAGGAGTGCATTAAGTTCCACTCTCTGTTAGAGTTGTTCAGAGACATTCCAATCAAAATGCTTCCATGCATAAAGAAATACAAATTTTGTAATGATTGTAACGAGGACAGCCAGGTGGACCTCATTGAATAGGAGACAACAAGGTGCAGAGCTGGATGAACACAGCAGGCCAAGCAGCATCATAG